AAAAACAAACTATTTTATACATACAGTGTTCCATAGCACGTTCGACAAGACGTCTCATCAATATTACTAACTTTACAGTTAATTTCTTTTTTTTTATGTAGATGTTTATCCCTCTCCAAGCCAGAGAATGGGTAAAGGCGAACAACCATTTGCTTCGAGTAGATGGAGCGTGACAGCCCAGGAAGGCAGTCCGTCTAGCGGAAGGAAAACTCTGAATTTAAATCTCCGCTGTCTTGCGGTCATATCCAAACACAGAAAAGGCCATGGAAGCAAATCCAAACAGAGAATCCGGAGTGGAGACCCTCAGGTAGCTGGTTGTCAACACTGACAACATTCCAGCAACTCCTGCAGCCAAGTCAACTCCATGTCCTGTATACTTTTGAATCGTGTCGGCACGGCCAAGAGGGGACCATGTTGTTTTCGCAGCGCATAGCCTCCGTATACCATTACCCAGGCATACGCACTGGAGAGGTTACTCCAGTCTCACGAATAAATTTTCACCAAAGAGGGCGCTACCTTTATCTTTCGAGATAAAATGGATGCCTATTTAGTTAACGCATTTAAATTTATATACAACGCATGTCATAGAATCAATTGGTATTTTTTATTTTTATTAGGAAACAAAAGACTTGTGAAAACAATTCTTAACAACAGTGTTTTTTCTTTCGAAATCGTTACTTATTAATTGAACATTTTTTAAATAATCATATGGTAGTTTAAAAATACTTGTCGCCATTTTTGTTTTGATTAATGTTTTCTTTCATAGAATTATATCGAATCGACATCAAGTATAAAGTAATTTTCAAAATGAAGTTGGAGCAGTAAGGCACTTAGAGTTACGGGGATCACACACACACACACACACACACACACACACACACACACACACACACACACACCATTGGTCATCCAATTATCAATGCAATTTTTATTTGTTGCTAAATGAAAACTATGACAGTGATGAGAAAGGAGTGCTTTTTTTTAAAGAAGAACCAATCAGCTGACATTTGAAGATGCAGTTATTGACAGGTGAATGAAACTAATGATAGGTGACATTTGGAAGATTTAGTGACTTCTGCAAAATGTACAAGGCGAACATCATCGTAAAAAAAAAAAAAAATAATGAAATCATTTACACCCCATATCCTCTTGGTGTCAGTTTAAGCTGACGACTTCTTTTCCCTATTTTTTTAAATTTCAAATGAACACTTGAAAAGTATTTCAATATATTTCAGTGAAATATTCACTTTACAAAATATGGCAGTGAATGTTGGACAATTTACTCACAGATGAAGAAGAGACTATCATGGATCGAACTGGTATCAGTTTTTTATGCATTTTACTTGTGCGAATCTGAGATCATGCTAGAAAAAAACTTTGCACTTAGTATCCTTCGGAGAAGCCAGTTACAGGGATGACCTCCTAGATGCCAATGGTAGATCCCCGTATTTGCACACATGTGAAGGATATAGATATATAAACACCCATCCCAGAGAGAAAAGCTAGTCTCTTACATCGACACGAGATGTAGAATCCACGTTCGGGGAAGGCTCCAGTGGCCGGTGGTAATTGACGAAGACCGGTGTGAAATAAAAGGTACTAGTGTTATGTATGAGAGATTCAGCTTCATGTTTTATTATTCATGTACAGGACGACAAAGTTATTTTGTTTTATCAGTTCACCCCATGCAAGGTATTAAAGCCACAAGCATTAAAGCCGTGACTGAGTGTGGAAGAATAAGAAAAAAAGAGAAACATTAGTAAGAACAATAGAAGAGTAACCAAGAAAACAATAGATAACAATTGACATTGAATTTAAATTTTTAAAGATCAAAGTTGGCTGGAAAGCATGTAGCCGGAAGAGAGTTCCACAAGCAAGAAGTGTAAGAGAAGAAACTGTTAACATAGAACTTACGGTTACATCTAGCGAATTCAACTGTAAATGAGACCTTGTTGCCAATCTAGTACTTAATTACATAAAGTCTAGGTACCAATGAGGAAAGCTCATCAGAAAAATTACCGTGAAATTATTTATAGTAATGGCACAGGGAAGCGGTGTGAAAGTGACTGAAGCAAAGAAGCTACATTTTTGAATTTTATCAAGGATCTCTAGATATAGAGCAGGGACACCGGACCATATATGGCAGAAATATTCAATGCATGAACAAATGGTAGACTTATAAATATGTAAGATAGATTCTGGAGAGAAAAATTATTTAGCACGATACAGTGAACAAACTTTCTTAGCAGCAGACCTTGCAATGGAGTCAATATAATCTTTCCACTTCACTTCAGATGAGAACGTTAATCCGAGAAATCGCAGTAAGCCACTCTCCTGGATGTTAACATGGAAGGCAGAACTGGAAGATAGAAATATGTCTCCCATATAACGCTTTGCGTAACCGACTCCTATGTGGATGCTTCCCTGTACGCTTCAATATTGAGGAAATTAACCCATTACTTCATAAAGCTTCCTTAAATTATATAATACGATATTATTAATTGATTAAATTGTTTAACAGCATATCAAGTCCTTATGGGTCATTTAATACCCGAATTTAATTTTTTTTGCAAGATTTGAAGTAATAAAATAGGATATATGCTATTCTGCTTTCACAATTGAATATATAGTATGAGTTACCCAGCTTTTGTGCATATACATGTTTGTGTAGAGGTAATTACTAGAGGCGATGATATGTGCTTTATTTTGGGGTTTATTTTAAGTTATATTTTGGAATACAGTTTGATATAAGGATATTATATGGATTAATGTCATAAAAGTTCTTTCAAGGTGATTTTCGTTGATTTTTAGCGGCATGTTAACACTTCTATGGGTTATTTAATGTCCAAATGTAAATATTTTGAACACAATTTTATGACTTGAACTGAATATATTTTGAACGCAATTGTATACCTTCAACTACAGATAAAATGTATTGTTGCTAATTTTACTATAAATATGTATTGTTGGTAAATTTTTATATGAAAATGTATTGCTATTTTTTTTTTAATAAAAATGTATTTTTATATTTTCGTAGTGTTTTCTTAGGGGGTTGCACTATTTGCTTATAGCTGGGCCTCTTTCTCTTCATGTCATCTTTCCTTCATTATATGTCCCAGACATTTAAACTTTTTAATTCCAAATACAAGTTTCCTTTTTGTTTCCATTTTCCGTAAGACTTCCTCGTTATTCACATGTTCAATCATGCTATTCTCAGCATCCTTCTGTAGAACAACATCTCTGTTGCCTCAAGTTTCCTCATCGTCTGTGAGGAAATTGTCCAAAATCGACTGTAAATATAGTAGGATTGATATTACATAGCAGTTCACTGTTCTTTTTGGTGTTTCTAACGAATTTTTCCAGTCTCTTAATGCTTTTGTCAGCTTTTGTAATGCGTCTTCGGATTTCCGTATCACATTTCCCATCGCCTTTTATGGAATCACGGTGGAGTAATTGATAGCGGCTCGGATTGAGGAATCTATTACATTCATTTACGTGCTAATACCCTTGGGAAAGGTATGAATACTTTTCTCCCCCAGTTATAGGTAAATAGTAGAACAAACCAGGATAGCCTTGGATGTCAACTGGTCTACTGGTAGCTCTGAAATACTTCAAGATTTAAAAAAAATATGGTTTAAAACTTTTTGTTGCTTCTATTTAATTGTGTTTTACTTGATGAAATTGATTGTATTTATTTAACAAAACTTGGCTTTAAATTGTTAATAATTTCGAATAACTTCTCAATTTCTTCCATGCTAGCTAAACATTTTGTCTAAGATTTATAATCTCACTTTATTTATAATAAGAAATCTTTGACGTATTTCTTCAGTCGGATCTGATAGCCAGTTGGCTTGAATCGTAATGTAAAGAAAATAATGCTTAGAAAATTGCTAATTTAAAAGGTCGGTAACTTTAAAATTTGAATTCTTCGAGCTTAAATTAACAACGTACAATTACTTAGAATTTTCAGACGTTATTTCATTTCCCTAGACATGTTCCCAACACTAAAATGCATATTGTTTTTTTTGTTTTTTTACTAATCCACGAATTATAAAGAAAAGAAAAGAGAGAGTTACCCCGCTTTTATGATTTTCAATTGCGTATACGACCCGTTTTGTAAATGAACGCTATTAGGTAAATGTTCTATCTCATAGTCCATTGCATTTAAAAATTAAATTATAAAGTTTGTTGTGATATTTTGTTTAATAAAAATGGTTAACAAATATGTTGCATTTTGCTGTTCTGGTGGATATGTTACTAACAGTGAAAAAGTAACATCATTTTCTTTTCCTCTTGGAAAATCCGACCTCGTAAATGGATAAAATTCGTTAATCGTATTGATTGGTTTCTTACAAAAAATTCAGTTCTTTGTATGGAACATTTTGAAGAGAAATTTATTTTAAAAGGAAATTTATTTTGAAAGGAAATTTATTTTGAAAGGAAATTTATTTTAAAAGGAAATTTATTTTGAAAGGAAATTTATTTTGAAAGGAAATTTATTTTAAAAGGAAATTTATTTTGAAAGGAAATTTATTTTGAAAGGCAAACGAAACAAACTGAATTGGGATTTACATCCAATACCTACAATACATTCAGAAAAAATAGGAAAACCGTCTCTTTTGCCGAATACAAGGGGATTCAGAAAACCTCCAAAACAATGGCTGACCCAAACTGATGAATTACATGATTTTATTTCAGCTGATACGATAAAGGATTTTACTCATTTCAAAGAAGCAATGTGTTGTCCTAATAGTTTTGAATTTAAAAAAAAGGAATATTATAATTTATAGAATAGTCTTTGACCCTGGAGCATATTTTCCATCTATAAAAATATGTATTCGCATAGACGATAACCTCCACGACCAGTTCCAGTGCTATGGAACCCCCTTCTACCGTTACCATAGTGGTTTATACATGGACAAGATTTAGAATGTTAGAAAATTTTCCAACATGCAACATGTGGTGGGAGAACAACCATACTCAATTCTACACATCCAAACTTACAAGACCTGGTCTTCCTAAGCGGTCACCCATCTAGGTAGTGACAGGCTCACCATAGCTTAACTTCCGTGATCGTATGAGAAACGATGATTCAACGCGATAAGCCTGCAAGAGTAGTATGCGGACTCTTATATTACAATTTGTGTATGTGGGAGATACATGCGAGAGAAAGAGGGAAAAAGAGTGAGAGATAGGAAAGGTAGAAAAGAATGTGTGTGAGAGATAGAGATATAAAAGAGAGATAGAAAAGAGTGTAAGCGAGAGAGAAAGAGAGAAAAAGGGAGCAAGAGAAATAAAGAGAGAGAGAGAGAGAGAGAGGGCAGGAAGAGATGGAGAAATATAATAAGTGTTAGTATTGACACAAAGCAGTATTTTTTTCAGAACAATTGAAGACTGAACTGATTATCAAAGGTTTGCGAAAACATATCACCAACCACTGCACTTCTCTGCTCTTGTGCACATAAAAGATAAGAAGATATAAATACAGAGAGGCTGTAACAGCTTAGAATATTCTTGGACAAATAAATGAAAAACATCTAAAGTACATTGTTCAATAAAAGGAGAGATTTTCTCTTTGAAATACCAAATAATCTTCGGGTGATAAAAGGCAACTGAATTGATTTGTATGACGAGTTTCTTACTAAATCCGTTTCAAGTGATTTCAAAGCACAAAGGATTTATATATTTTATTGTCAAAACAAATGTTTCTTCATGGTTCATATCGTTTGCCTGATCAGAAAGTTCATAGGTCAATTTCCTTAAAATGGTAGTATTCAGTTCACTGAAAGAAGAACTTATCAATTTAGATTATCTAACGTTATAGAGATGCTATATATTGTCAACAAACACGTTTCTGGTGCTGTTTTCGTTTTCACACAAGATCATACCTACACATACACACAGACGAGCATTACTTTTAAATGCATACATATTCGACTAATTATAGCAAGCCCCAGCAAACAATCACGCTGTTTACAGAGAGAAGGTTTGCGAGAGAAGGAACATCAACCTATTAAAAAAGGAATGTTCATACATTCGCACCATAATTTATTATATTTCATATTCAGCTCCGAGATTTTGGTGGAAAGATGTTGCAGAAAATCTTTAATAAAAGCGTTTTCTATATTCCAACTAGAATGTAATTTTGCCCTGTTTATTCTGAATTAAATAAAGGAAGGACAAACTTGGTGCCGAATACATTTTCATAAGAACATGGCATTAGTCATGTGTTCATTTGATGTGTGTTCTTTATTTCCTGTGATTCTCTTTTGAAGACAATATTTGTTGTGATTTTCTTTATCACAGCTCTCCAGATATTCCTGAAAATGTGTTCTTTGAACTGATGAAATTTGACACCTCATCTGTTGAATTTAGCTTTGATTACATTATGTATCGACAGATTGATGGTGTTGCCATGGGTTCCCTTTTAGGTCCTGCACTGGTAAATATATTTGTCGATTTTCACGAGGAGAAATTGCTTTGTGGTTCACTTCGTCCTCAATTATATTGTCAGTGTGTGGACGATACTTTTCATTTATTCAATGATGAAATTGAAGCGGATCAATTTCTCTCCTCTCTCAATAGTCTTCATCCAACTGTGAGGGTTACGCTTGTGAAAGAGTCCGATTCTCAACTTGCTTTTTTAGATGTATTGATGCACAGGAATGTATATAGGAATTCCACTTTTGCCGGGTTGAACACGCGTTGGGATTCCTTTTGTTCAAAGAAGCGGAAGATAAACCTCATCAAAACTCTGACTCATAAGGCGTTGATGATCTGTTCTGAGGATTTCCTTGGACAGTGAAATTGATTTTCTGACGAGGACTCTCTTTGTAACAATGGCTATCCGCCTAATGTGGTTCATTCTGTCATACGTAACAAGTTCGCTAGTTTAAAAAAGATTAAGCTCGCTATGGTAAAAAAGATTCCCTGTTTATTTGTGACTTCCTTGGAATGGAGCTGAATGTGAAAACCTCTCCACGCAAATTCCTTCTGGTGCTCGTGTCGTATTCAATACAAGGCCGATCCTCTCGTCTAATCGTAAGGATGTTCCCCTCCTCATCAAGTGAATTCTGTTGTATATAAATACAATTGTGGTTGCGGAGCAGCTACATAGGGAGGATTACCCAGCGACTAGATGCAAGAATAAAACATGTACCAAGTAAGATCAGGAATCACATCTTGGTTTCAAATGAACAAATCCCCAAATATTTCCTTATAATATGCCTATATTATAAAGAAAAATACTACTCCAATTGACCCGAATAAAAAAATCAAATTTTCTATTATAAAAAATTTAAGACAACCAACCTTATCCTCAAAAATAACAACACACCAGCCAAGTCAAAATTACAAAGAACGAACATTATCTATGAGTTCAAATGACCCTTAAGGAACTGTGTTCATGATCAAACCCCGACTCATAAATAATTACATCGGTTACACAACTACATGCTTATCCAGACGGCTTACATTACACGTATCTGATCACAGCTCCATTAGAACCCATTTAAACACACACTCAGATTTACCCGACACCATTAGGAACATACTAGTAGAAAACACAAATATATTAACTGCATCCACCTTCAAAAAAAGACTAAAAATAATGGAAGCTTTAAAAAAAAGAAAAAGCCAACTCTTAACAATATTAACTACGAACAAAACCACGATGTACTAACCGTATTCGGAATTTAAAAACATCCCTACCACACACTAAGACATACACATAATGCACACACTCAATTAAGCTGAAAAATCGAATCATCCTTGATAATGGCTAAAGGTATAGCCGAAAGCGCTCGGAAATATAAAACATTTGGACAGTCCTTACACACCCTTTGTCCTGAAAAGAAAGCTCTTGTTAGAACACAAGAAAAATGAAATAAAAAGCTTAACCGTAGTACCTTGTCTGTCGTTTTTAATGAAACATGCACACACACACACACACACACACACACACACACACACACACACACACACACACACACATATATATATATATATATGAATGAATGATTATTTGAAGATCTTATTAGATGTACAACGTTTAATCAACACAATAAAACAGGCATAATTAAAAGGAGCAAATAAGAGAAACAACAACTACGGTGGTTGGTAATACGAAACTAGGAGTAAAAAAGAAGAAAAAAGAGAAACCAAATTTATACAGAATGAACTAAACGGTTAAACTTTCGTATTTGTTTTTTTTTTGTTCTCCTTTTTAATTATTGCCGTTTTCTTTTATTATGCTTTATGCTTTAATTAAATGATTCTTCATTTAAGTTGTATTGTGTGATTCGCTCCAGAATATACCAGATGGTTTCAATCGAATTTAATGTCAATAAAAAACCTTTTTGTAGGAAGAGTTGATCTGCGGTGACCTCAGTATATACTAGGATAACCCTAATAGATACCAATGTCGAATGTGCACTCAGTGTCCCACCAGAGCGTCAGAGGATTGTTTGATTAATTGATTGGTTTTTCTTAATGACTTATCAACCTTTTCCAAGTTATTTAAAGCCAGAAAATATTGCTTTAGAATGTAATAATATTTTGGAGATAACAATGATTTAGTCATACAAATCCTACTAATTAAACCATAGTTGGTGGAGATGAGGTGGATTCATACCTTAACCTGTAAGTTGATATAACGAACCCGACTGGGATTGGAACTAGGCCAATTCCGAGCCGTTATCCATTACATAATCTGCCCATCCAATCTTACAGCACCTGGTGAGGGTTAGAGAGGTCAATTGCACCACAACTTTGACCTGGAAGGTGTCCTCACAGACATCAGCTGAAGAAACGCGACTCATAAGATTTTAGTGGCTGCCTCGTCATGTAAGCAGGTGTTCCATCCAGCTGTGCTTATATTGTGCACACATAGGACAACCCGATGACAGGAAGTAATATAGACGCTCCATTTGAGACGGGGGGGCAAAGTGTTTCTCATATCTATGCGAGATTAAGAGCAATGGTTGAATAAAGCCAGTTAAGCCATATACGCCATCACGCAGATATTTATTGAACAAGTCTAGAAGTGAATAAACAATAATTTTACCTATGGCAGATTTAATCTCGTATTTTTATTCGTCTGTACAACGTAAGAGGAGTCTCGGTGGATAGCGGCTCGGATTGAGGAATCGGAGAGCCGAGTTCGAATTCCAGTCGAATCCATTACATTTCGCTTTGCAAAGGTATGAATCCTCTTCTTGTGTAAATAGCGGGATAGACCAGGTTCTATAGCCTTGGATGGCAAATGGCAACCTACTGCAGAAAAAATCTGCCTCGTCAGTCATGCATGACTGACTGACAACGCTGACATTGAAGTAAGGTTCATTGTTAACGTTGGACGGTTAACATTATTGTGAGGATTTCTACTCACTACCTTATATATATTCCAAAATCTATCTATCTATCTATCTATCTATCTATCTATCTATCTATCTATCTATCTATCTATCTGTTTCTATTTGTGTAAGCAAACATGGAATAAAATACAAGAAGCAAGAATGTCACTGATGTCGACGAGGACCGATAAAAAAATTATCGGGTCTGTTGGTATGTTAACGGAGCTAAAGTACTTAGAGTGAAGCCGATTGGCACAGATTGGCTCTTCATTCTGCCTCGCATGCACTCTAAGTTATACCATTCTAGTTCACTTTCGTTGTTTACAGAAATGCTTGAAAGAAAAATGTGTAGAATGTGGCTGTCTCACCATACCACGGAGGTTCTACCATGGCTTTTGCAGCAGTTTTTGGTCAAGGACAACAGTCCCCATATTCCTCAGATGTCGCACCTTGTGACTTTTTCCGCTTCAAAAATCAAATCCAAACTTGAAAGGAATAAGATTTCAAGACGTCGAAGAAATCAAAGAGAATACGACGGGGCAACTGTTCGCTATCCCCAAAAAGTACAGCGTCAGAAACATATAGGTTAATAGAATTTTGATCTATTATCACACACTACTCTCGTATATAATGAATTTCCTATTTACTGTGGTAAAAAAGTTAATAAAATTACTATATATCAAAATACCTATTCTAACAATTAATTGCTAGGGGCGAATCAAATCGAATGTATAAATTTAGAGAGA